TTTTAATCTAGTAGATTGTTCACCATAAGAGTTTTCTCCTTGCTTCTTATATTGTGGTTTGTTCTCGAATCTAGGGGACTAGGTTTTTTGTTCCATCACTAGTCATGAATATAAGGTGAATTTGTATATATACTCTTCAATTAGTCTTCTGGTTTCTTTACCCTAGGGACCGACCATTGACCATGTGGCACTTGAGGTTGATTTTTATTGTAGCTTTGATAGTTGTTGTAACCTCCTTGTGGCTATCTTTTTTTGGGGATCTTGAGTGATGAAATTTACATCAGCATGTCCTTGACCTTAAATGTTCTAGCAGTATTGACCATCATTTCCTTCTTCTCCACGGGCATCATAAACATATAAGTATAAAACTGGGTAAAAAAATTTAGTTTGCTAATAAGGGTGTACGTGGTTTTGTTGGGTTGGATTTGAAATACTCATTCCTAAACCTATCTTAATCTAGGTTGTGTTTATTTTGTCATCTTTCAGGTCCTGATACATGGGAGAAACTTAGGAGCGAGTTCCGGGGCAATTAGAGGTCCAAAACGAAGAGGTTGTGCACAAGTCATGAGCCGAGTTGCACAACTCATGGCCTGGGCAGTGGCATTTGACAAACAGGCAGTGAGATGCTCAAAAAATCAGTAGGGAAAGCACAATTCGCGGAGTGACTTGCAAAAATCACCGCTTGGCTGTGACTATAACATAAAATTGTGAATTTCACCTATAAACGAAGTGAACCAACGCATTTTGCACAGGTCATGCTCTGTGTCATGACCGTGACTATGGCCATGATGAGTGCGTTGTCTCGGGTAGTTTTCTGCAACTTTTCAGAAGAGGGAGACCCGAATTTTTTTCAGCCAAAAACCCCCGGGGGTTTCAAAGAGAGAAATAACGATATAGGAGGGTTCTTGGAGCTAATTTTGAGGTACCCATCACCATTAGACCTCGAATATCAAGCCTATACATGAAAATTGAAGATCTTGAGCTTTATAATAAATTCTCTTTCCTCCCTATGGAATAGTTCTCCTTCACTTATGTTTTGATGAACCCTAGCCATGGTGGTAGCTTGATTGAATGATTGTATGACTACTCTATCTTGATATTCTTGAGTTCATATCCAATCTAAGCATGTTTTATGTTCAATTATTCCTTGATCAAGATTAATTGATTTTGCCATTGGTCTACAAGAGAGAATATATAATAAGGTCAATTAGAGCACTTTGGATTGGAAGTAGGGGGATCAATAAAATGATGTGAGACGATTTGTTGATTTATTGTGTGTGAGGACCTCACCCATTAGAGGGTGTCTAGAACTGAATGCCTTGATTGATTGTTTTAGAAATGTTATGACCATCTAATCAACCGAATCAAGAGGGGACTTGATTGCTCGAATAGAGATTCAAGGTCTAGCCAAGAATCCTCCACATTATGAATGTAGAATGAATCAAGTTAGAGTATCGTCAATCAGTGATCGAGTTTGTGGCTAGGGGGAATCAATGCCTAAGTGATCTCCCAACTTGCAATTAGTTAGTGTATCTGTTAGAGTAGTTTAGTTTCTTAATTTCATATATTGTGTGGCTAGATAACAAACCGAATCGAAGTAATGGTACACCTAGAGACCCTACGGTTCGATAATTTTATTACTTTAGTTCCACTATACAAAACTCGGTCGTTGGTTATACTTGTTCTTCAATTGGGAGAGTACTTTAGAGTGAGTCAAGGGGACTTCTAGGTTATTAGGAAAGGCTTAGGTTTGTTAATTTAGCCATTTTGCGTTGTTTTCTTTTCGCCTTCGCATTTGAAGGTGTTTTTTTGTTTGTTTGTGTAGGTGTAATCATGGATACCAATGGCTTCTCCAACATGTGGGGATATCCACCAACACTCAAATGGGGTTCCCCCAAAGCTTCATGGAGCAACCAAGATGGTGGAATCCAAGGATTTTGGTTCTATGACTAACCTCCCTTCATTAACTTAGGTCGATCGCCATAGATCGACCTTAAAGATGAGAGTGCACTTTGGGAAATTTTTGTTAAGAGTGAGCTAAAGACCATACATCCAAACCTTCTCCTGCTATCTTCCATCCTCCCTTTAATAGAGAAGTGGATGTCGCTTCTGCTTTAGCCATGAGATAGTGCTTAATTGCATATAGCCTTTAATCTTGTGAAACGAATGCGTGAAAAATCTAAGTTGAAGCTCAAAAGTTTGAGCCCTTTGAAGTATGAGCACCAAAATAGAGTCCATGGTTTTCGAAGTTTTTTAGAGTCCCTTCAACACAAGTCACTTGTCTTAGCTCCACTAGTCGGCAATGTCCTAACTCGAGACTATGATTCTCATCGAGGTGGTTGGAAGATTTCTTGTCTTTGATTGACCTCGTAAGTTGCTAGTTGACTCGCTATCGACGGTCAAGGTTACATATTATGGGAGTCTAGTGAGTTGCACTAGTTTTAGTTAGTTATGGTTTTAGATGAATTGTTTAGTATACTTATGTTAATGTAATGCTAATTATGCTACATGTTTCGATTAAAGCTTATCGTTACTTATTATAAATTGCATACATGTGTAAATTCAAGAAGTCCCAGCTTCTTATTTGGTGGAATGGTCGGTTGACAAACTCTGACATTGGGATCGATTATGAAAATGGTGAATCCACTATGTTGGAAATTGAGTCCAGATTCACATGGCAAGAACTCCATGACATTTGTACAGACATTATTTGTATGGGCACTCAGACGAGAGTTGGTAAAATCACTTACCAATATCCAAACATGAGTGTTGGCGGGGTTATGTACGAATAAGTTGTCATAAATGATGATAGGATGCGACTTGCAGATGTGTATGTTGAGATGGGTAAGACGTTCACTTCGAAGAACGCTGTTGCTGATGCTTTTAGTGAAGAAGCCATGCAGCGGAATTTCAAAGTGGACAACAAACAACTACATGTCATATGCAAGAATGCTGGAGAGGGTTGCATGTGGCAACTACGAGCTGCAAATACGAAGAGAAAGGGTGCTTGGGTAATTTGTACAGTAGAGAACAACCACAACTGCTCCTCGTCCGTACTTTCCCAGGATCACCGCCAACTTAAAGCAAAGAAAATGGGTGCAACCATTAAGCACTTGTCGAGGCATAACCATATATCAAGATCAAAGCTATCATGAGTGAGGTGAAGGATCGACATTCTTACACGATCAGGTACAAGAAGGCATGGCATGGATAGCAAAAGACCATGCTAAGGTGTATGGTGATTGAGACGACTCATATGCTTTACTCTCTAGAATAATGGTCGCAATGGAGGAGTCCAACCCTGGGACTATTTTTGTGTCGTGGTACAACAATGTACAAACTGAAGATCAAGTTCGAGTACAGAATGAGTTGATGTTTCATCGTCTATTTTGGGCATTCAAGCCATGCATTGACCGGTTTGCTTTCTGCATTCTAGTGATCCAGGTATATTGCGGACTAATTAATGTTCCACTAGTTCTTTTTTTTTTACTATGTAATAGTTGTACTAATTATATTTTTTTAGCAGGTAGATGGACCTTTTTTTACTGGGAAGTACAAAGACACTCTTCTCATTGCCACAGGTGTTGATGGAAATCTGCGGATTTTCCCCCTAGATTTGCATTAGTTGAAGGAGAGAAAAACTAAAGTTGGACATGGTTCTTTGACCAGCTACACGAGCACGACACACAACGGTAGGGTATCACTATCATATCCGATTGTTGCAGATAACTAGACGGTACGGCATTCCTATTAGATTGTTGTGTCAAATTGCATGGGAGCGATGTGTTGCTTCACAGCTAAATCCCTCGTACCCCTTGGCCCAGGATCGATATACAATCGTGGATCGTATATCTCGGCACCCATCTAGAAAAATATTGAATGAAATCAAATTATTTCAATATAAAAAATATAAATCACAAAAAAAGTAGGTACCCTAAGAGCCTATTCGTCCATTTTTTGGCGGAAGCTGGACATAGTTTTGACGGGTTTTTAGAGGAGAGGGTTGAGTTGTAGGAAATAACTCAAGGAATTTATTATGTTGTGAAGGATCGGCTTTAATTGCAACCACAGAGGCACAGACCATAACTGGAATTCCTTGAATGGAGGAAGGGAGGGAGAAACAATTATGAAGTGCGGTGGTGTGGTTGAAATGGGGAGGAGAGGGCTAAATTTATAGGAAGAGGAGACCGCTAGAGAGAGAAGCAGTGAGTTCATCGCAGCCGTCCAATTCAGCGATGACACCGCGTTGGTCAAAAGAGGTGATGCGCGTGGATTGCTGACGTGGGACGCTGTGGTAGTCGGATTTGCGCGTGAACCGAAATCTGCCCAACACCCGTGAGAACTGAGAGCTACACTATTTCGCAGCTGTAGATCCATCCCGTTAAATTTAGCAGCCTCATTGGAATAAGTGTGGCTTTACACCTTTTTTTTTGTTGAGGTGGTTTTACACTTTCCGTAAAGAAACTTTTTTTTTTCTTAGGGTAAATACAATATATTAGCCATAACTATTGTTGCGGTTCAAAATATGACTAACTGTCTGTTATTATTATTGAATTTTTAATGGAGTAGGCCACGGCAGCAGCCACACCGGACTGCTTTTAATTTATAATTTTAAAACATAAAAGTTTAGTCAGCATTACTAACAGAATTGTTAACAGAGAGTTAACGTTTGACTAATAATTTGAATTTCCATAGTTGTGGCTATAATTCCCCGCTTCATAATAATTGTAGCTAATATATTGTATTTACCCTTTTTCTTATTCATTTTGAAATGAAACATTTTTGTGTTTGTTATATAAAGAATTCATTTTCAATTCTAAATTTTGAATTCTATGGAATTGATACTAGTTATAGTAATTCTCAAGAATTGAGATGGAATTTCCAAATGAATTCCACAACTATTTACTAAATATAATAGAATGACATAATTATCCTCTTTATTAACTAAATTACTTGTATATATTGGAGCGGATACTATAACAACAGCTCTTTTATTGTTACTATAACAACATCATTCATTAAGGGTAATAGGGTAATTTAACATAATAAATTTTTTAATCCATCTCCGCCGCCACTCGCGAAGAGAGAACCAGTGATAAGTTACTTTCGTCGAGATCATAATCGTCAAAGAGCAGCCGATCTTCTTCCCAGTCGTCGTTGTCGGCTGACGACACCTCTTCGACTACGGTTGTTTTGAGGGTCCTGTGGTCGCGGTGGCTTCCTGCTCTTCTTGGCCGGAGCTTCCGCGAAGAGCTTCCTTCTACTTCCACGGATAGGGCATGTCCCAAGTAGAAAACAAGAACGAGAAGTTGCGGTTCGAGAGAGTGTTCGACGGAATTGAGATTGACGGATAATGAGAAACTAGTGAACCTAGCTACCATGGTGCTAGGGTTTAAACGAGAACAAAGCCAGACGTGGGAATTCGGAGCAATTACAGAGGAAAGAAAACATCAATGGTGAACGATGTGGGGAAGAAGAACTGAACAAGTTCAACACTCTGCTGCAGTCTTCTCTGCTCAGCATTCATTCACGTACCTACCTACCTTCATGAGCCATATTTATTTGTTACTGTAAATCACCACAGAACTACAGGGGCCATATTTGTTTGTAAATGTAAATCACCATAATGGTTGCTCTGTTTTGGACTTCGGTTTGTTGCTGCCATGGTGATGTTTAACGGGATGCAGAGAATTAGGGCTTGGTGGCTGGGTTATTTGTTTGCGGCTGGACAATTAGAAAGGCAAAAGGTAGTGGCAGTTATAGGTGTCAATCCGGCGGGTTCGGGCGGGTTCAGGCTGGGTTCAATCGGGTTGCGGGTTAGTCGGATTGCGGGTTCATCGGGTTGCGGGTTCGTCGGTTCGGGTTCAATCGAGTTTGGGTTTAATCGGGTTGCGGGTTAGTCAGGTTGCGGGTTGATCGGGTTCGGGTTCAATCGGGTTACGGGCAAATCGGGTTTGGGTTCATCGGGTTTCGGACCGGGCGGGTTGCGGGAGGATTGGGTTGAGGGTTGTTCGGGTCAACGCATCGAGTTACTTACTCGTTACCAACTTACACATTTTATTACACTAATTTAAAATATATTTCACAGTTTTTAATCAATTTCTTTCTACCTTGTATATATACATAATTAATAAAAACTAGTCAAAATCACCACAATCGAAATTTGAAATCTCGCCTTCCCACCACAACTAAAATTGGGCCGCCCAAAATTTCATCATCACCCGCCCACTACAATTACACCAAAAACACAAAACCCTTCCCTCTGCTTGCAAAAAAATGGGCGCCCAAAATTTCATCACACCCGCCCAAAACCAAAATTTCATTACACCCGCCCAAAATTACTTCTTAGTTCTTACCCTGTCATCTTCTCCAATAATAAAGTTTATTATTATAGACAAAATGTCTTAGTTATTATTTATAATAAATATTAGCATTGTGTTGATTTTATATTTACCTTTTTTTGTAATTTGGTTAAAAAAATTCATGTCATAATTTTCGTAATTAAAAACCATAATTGAATTTCAGATTTTGAACTTTCTTAACTAAATGTGAATGATTTTACTTAGGTTAAGAATGAAAACCTTTATTTGAAACAATATATTTATTTTAACCAATTTATTTCTACCTCGTATATATATACTTAATTTTTTGAAAAAAAATGATTCAAAATGTTAAATCAATTTTTATGACTTGCAAACTTGTTATGTAATTAATCGTAATTGGTAAAGTACACTGGCTAATAATAATGGTGATATCAATATTTACAACCAAAAGATACCATTAATTATTAATTTGATATTTTAGTATTATTTCAGTAGTGTAATTGTATTAAAGTATCTCATTTAGTATAACCATGCAAATGTGGTATTAGAAAAAAACAAAGTGATAAAAGAAGTTATTTCGAAATAACTCATTGCCCAAATAACTTCAGTAAATTGTTGTCAAACGAGTTATTTCTAAAATTGTTCGAATTATCCTGAAAATTGAACCATTAAAGATTAACTATCAGATCTAGTAAAATTATTGGGACTTCAATCATAACTTACTCAATAACATATATCCTATACACTTAGCCTTACCCTCAATCGACAATATTAAGGTAGTATATGTTGTTGATTGTATACCCTAAACCATCAATACATTATACACTAACCACATACCCTTGTACCCTAACCATATGTCCTTATGAGTTGTGATTTTGCTAGTATAGTTAACTTAAAACTGAAATTCATACTTTGATTTTCAAAATATAGATAAAAAGTGATATTTGCTAATTGCTATACTCTAACCATATATCTTATACTCTACATCATATACCTTGTCCCCTAACCACATACCACAAACATAAATTAAAAAGGGATCTCCTGCCGTTAAAGACATCAAATGACTTCAAGTGAATATATGTTAATAAAAAACTTAGAACCCTCAAAACCATCAATATCTTATACCCTAACCATATACTTCCTAAACCATATGTACCTTATACCATTTACCCTAACCAATATACTTTATTCCCTAAACAACGAACAGTCAAAGATTACTTATCAAGTTTAGTATAATTGTTGTAACTAATGGTTAATTTATTTATTAGCCCATAAACAATTACATACATACATACATACATATATATATATTAGCCTTCAAAGCATATAAGAATAAATTTAACTAGTCATGTCCTCCATATAAAAATTAAAGATTCATATTTCAAAGGCTAAAATTTTGAAAAACCAAAAAGTTGAAAACACCAAATTTGTTTCATTCTTTCTTTTCACAAAAAAAAAAATACTAAAATTTATCTCTTTCTTTCTCCTTCCATAAATTAGAAACACTCAATTTCCCTTCTCTTTCTCTTCCATCAAATTGAAAGAACCAAATTTCCCTCTTCCTTCCTTCCACAAAAAGTTGAAAACTCAAAATTTCCCTCCTTATTTCTCTTTCATAATCAAAAGAACAAAACTTTCCCACTTCTTTCTATTCCCACAAATCAAAACCACCAAAATTTCCCTTGTTTCTTTTCTAAAAAATTCAAAGAACCAAATTTCCCTCTTCTTTCTCTTCCCAAAAAGTTGAATACACCAAAATTTTCTTCTTCTTTTAAAAACATCAAATTGCCAAATACATTACTTTATTTTATTTATATTTAATTGATAATTTTATTGAATAGTTGAATTAACAAAAATTTTAATTTATATATTATATTAATATTGTCCATGATCTCAATTATTAATTCTTTATTATTAATATTGATATTATGTTGATTTTATATTTACTTTTTTAATTTTGTTAAAGAACTTAGTGTTCAAGTGACCTTCATGTTTCAAATTTTTTAATTTTCTTAAAATACATAATATCAAGTGAGTTTCATATTTATTAAATTCCCTATACGAAATGAAAAAATAATTTTACCTAAGTTTAGAATGAAAAACTTTATTTTGAAAAACTATGTATTGTATATTATAATAATTATTTAAGTGGACTAAGTGAGGTTCGGGTTGAGTCGGTCGGGTTACGGGTTAGTCGGGTTCGGGTCAATCGGGTTTGGGTTAATCGGGTTGCGGGTCAGTCGGGTTGCGGGTCAGTCGGGTTGCAGGTCAATCGGGTTGCGGATTAATCGGGTTGCGGGTCAGTCGGGTTGCAGGTTAGTCGGGTTGCGGGTCAATCGGGTTGCGGGTCGGGTGGGTTACGGGTTTATGTTTAAGTGTTTCTAAATTCTAATGTCTCTATGCTTCAAATGCATCCACATGTTAAATAGGTTTGACACCTAACCAAAAAATGCTACATGGTCGTTAGATAGTAAGCCACATATTAGATTGGAATGAAATGAAAGTGCCTAATTTATTAGCATTTAGGAATAACATCATCATTAGTATGCAATTAATCTTGATTTCCTAAAAAAATTATGTTTTGTTTCGCTCGGTTATACATGTATTATAAATATAGTTGTGTTTGGTGAATGGTAATAACTAATTAGTTGTTGCTATTTGTGATCATATGAAGTTTCATTCCAGAAAATTCAAAATTGTGAAAAAATTTTTAATTTTTGTTTTGAACGCCTAGGCGTGCAACGCTTAAGCGGGCTAGGCGCTAGTCAAGAGCACACCGCTCGCCTTACGTCTAGCACTTTTTTGAACCTTGTATGCAGCTATGCGTTTTTTATATGCAGTTAGGAGTTGGGAGTTATTGGTATGCAGACCACAAGTATTTTATAAGCACACCAGAAATCTCTTAATGCAAACCACAAATACGGTAAAGCAACCCACAAAAAACATACCAAAAACCTTCTAAAGCAAAGCACAAGTGTTTTAAACGATACCAAAAATCTCACAAAGCATACCATAAATATTTCATAAGCACACCAGAAATCCTCTAATGCAAACCAAAAATACGGTAAAGCAAACCACATAAAGCAAACCAGAAATGTCCTAATGCAGACCACAAATATATTAAAACAAACCAGAAACTCCTCAAAGCAAACCAGAAACGTCCTAATGCATACCACAAATATATTAAAACAAACCAGAAACTCCTCAAAGCAAACCATAAAATTTCCGAAAGCACACCATAAACTTCTTAATGCAAACCAGAAACACAATAAAACAAACCAGAAACCTCCTAATGCATACCACAAATCTCCTAAAACAAACCACAAACCTCACAAAGCAAACCACAACATTTGCGAAAGCATACCAGAAACCTCATAATGCAAACCACAAACACAGTAAAGCAAACCACAAAGACAAACCAGAAACGTCCTGATGCAGACCACAAATATATTAAAACAAACCAGAAACCCCTCAATGCAAATCACAAACTTTTTGAAAGCAAACCAGAAACTTCTCAATGCAAACCACAAACACGATAAAGTAGACCATAAACTTCTCAATGCAAACTACAAACACGATAAAGCAAACCACAAAAGGCATACGAAAATATGAGAAACCAAACCATAAATCTCACAATGTAGACCATACATCCGGTGGTCGTTGACCGGTGACCGTCAGTCAGCAGATTCCGACGCCGATAGGCATATTCCGGCCCCGATGACTAGATTCCAACGCCGGTAAGCATATTCCGACCGCGATGAGCATATTCCGGCGACTGTGGCATATTCCGATGACAAAATAGCATATTCCGGCGACAAAAAGCATATTTCGGTGACCGACGACCATTTTCCGGCGACCGGTGGCAGAATTTCGGCGACCAAAATTTTGGGCCGAAAATAAAAAAATAGTTATTATTATTTTATTATTTATTATTATTTAAACATATTTTTCATAATGACAATTATACCCTTGCTTTGATTTTACACTAGGTCAACTCATCTAATAAAAAGTCATCACAACCCTAGCTTCCTATTGGTTGGAGACTAGTGTTGTTATAATAACAACACAAGGAGTGTTGTCATAGTATCTAATCCCATATATAAGACGTACCAAACACATGAATTCATTTGACAATGAATTCTACACGACAATTCATTTTATTTCTAAAGATTTGAATATGACATACCAAACACAAGATTTCATTTGACAATGAATTCTACACGATAATTCATTTTATTGTGAAATGAACTCTGGATTCATTTGGTACCAAACATTCTGTTAATGTATTTTGGTGTAATGGACTATCACATCAACCCACATTGCATTTTCATACAACATATTTATATTGGTTAATGCTCAAAATAGAAAAACCTTTTAAGTTATGGGCAGAAATCGCAAACACTTATTGTATACTTGACAATTATAGCCATCCGTCAATATTACGGTTTAATTTACAAAGGTGGCTAACGGTAAATTATACATAGGATCCAACATGTTAATCACATCAACAAAATCAATTAAACAAAAAAAAAATTTATTTACGATTAAAAAAATCCAAAAACATTTGGAAGTCACACAGTGTCATTTTTTTCATTTGGTTTGTCCTATTTTTCAAATTTTCTCTTTGCCTAAACTTATTTTTAAAATTGTAAGTACAACATTTGAAAATTGATCTTATATAAGTGTGTAAATTGTTTATATATGTTGATCAAAGTACGCCATATTATTTGTGTATAATGTTTAGTCTATCTGTCGTGCTGTCGCTCTGTTATCAATAAGAGAAGACTCGAAACGAGATAAGTTTGTTTAGTCATTTAGCACAAACTTAACTGCCCTAGCGAGAGAGGCCCTCACCTTCGTTAACATCCAATGTCCCAAGATCACTACAAGACAAAGAATAGATATCCCATATCCTCCTATGCACTGAAATAATTTATAAATGTAATAAACAATATAATTACTTTTTCATATATCTTAACTATCTTGACTAAATGGGATTAAAATACCATTAATCCTCAACCCACTTGCTCAACCAGACCAACAGACTAAACAAAGTTGACAACCTTACAGTTACAAATACATAACTAGCTAGGTCCCAACTTATCCCACTATCCCAGGCTAAGTCGGAATTTATGGAGGGCAACACCCAATTTAGTAAATTACAGTAGTAACTCAGGGCAGAGCAGGCAGAAGAATCATAAAAACAGTTCCCTGCTGTTGATAAATTTACAAAAGCACGTAAAGATAGTTTATATATACCAGTAACAAACTGACCAACTTTGGCAATTAGGTATAAACTGTATACAAAGATATTTCTCCAGAACAAAAGATATGGGAGAACTTTACCATTCACATTGATGGGTTGTAGTCGCTACTCTGAATCAATAGCCACACCCTAATGAAGTGGGGCACGCCAATCTGGCGGATTGGGAGCTCCTAGCCCAGTCCAGGCGGTGGCACAGGGTGCACCAACATTTCTCGATCCCCGACAAGGCTTGTACAATTGGACATCTCTGCACTGGGGTTGGACGGGGTATTTGACACTACCTTGATAGGGTATACTTCTGTGACTTCTTCAGTTCCTTCGTCCAAGTACACTACATCCTGCATTGTAAGTTGGTGATATTCCACTACTTCCCTTAGGAACCGATTTTCGCGAGCACAAACTGAATTCTCATGTGCCAACCGTGCCTTCTCTGCTAGCAGCGTCTCAAGTTGAAGCCGAATCTGGGGTGAATCACAATAATCAATCCCAATTCATAGATAACTGACAACAATCACATGTTAATATACAAGAGATCTTCATTCGTAACAATGACAGTTCCTCATACGAAAAATGAAGGAAATACTGCAAAAGAAAAAGGTTGTACAGCTAAGATCTGTAGTTGGGATTTCTAGATTGGGTAGTAGTTGTAAGGCTCAAGTTGCAGACTTCTTATATCTCACTTTCATTTGGATGAACTTGGCAAGGAGTTCAAATTGGATGAATTGGTAAGGTTTGGACCTTGACTAAAGCTAGAGAGTCTCCTCCTCGAGATCTGGCCATTCCTGCAGCTTTAAAAATAACCTGGCCCTCTCATATATCAAGGATAAACCCTCTTCTTAGCAAAGTAGTTACAATTGCTAGCAGTTCACAAGCTCTTAAGAGTTTATGAATTTACCTAGGTTATGATCTTAATTTCACCAAAACGTCAGGACATAAGATCGGGTCAAGCTGCGATTTAAATCTATAAAATCCTTAATCGATTGGTTTTAATATTATAGATCCCATTAGGAACACAGAACAGGATACTTGGATGCAGTTCAGACCAGGTTTGGTCAAGTTATCAACCTTGAAAGGTCATTCTCCAAGTGACTATGTTTACTTCTGTTTTAAGAGTGGAATTTTCTTTCCCCGTGACCTGTCTATTTTTCTAAATTAGTAATAGACTTTCTTAACACTTAAAGCTCGTGCCTTGTTCTATTGGAGGTTTTAAGTAACTGCAACATATATTTCATCATTATTGAGTGCAATTTTTTTCAATAGATTTCAGTGGAGATCTGATTCTTACAGAAACCAACTTGATGCATGCATCAGCAATTTGAATTCAGCATGCAATGGCCTTTTGCCAATTACCACTGAAAACTGGAGCAAGCTCATCAAGCAATAGCAAGGAATCTTCCATATCAAAGATAGATATGAAATTTCAGTCATTCGCAATATGAAGCCAACAGTGTTCACTTGTCAGTCTCCTACAAGTTATTCGGACAAGCTTTGCAACAGTTCTTCAAAATTCGCTAACTTTTGTATTCCTTTCTTTCCTATTATTCAGATATCTATATTCACTGGGTTCAGTTGACTGTTGCAAGCTACATCTGATAAGGATGCAAAGCTAAAATGTTTACTGATCAGGTCGGATGTAAGTAGCTTAATCTCCTTGGATCATAAACAAGTTTCACAGATTCAGGCAGGATCTTGAAGATTATACTTTTCTAGGTTCTGTTAATGAAATAATTATATCGTAGAAAAAGCCAGAGTTAAGGAAAATACACATGAGGAAATGTACTGGCACTAAATAACACCATACCAGATCATCATCTTCCAGGTTATCTCCCCTTTCGTGACTCTCTCTGAGGACTTTATTTTCCTCCTCCAGCTGAGCACACCTTTCCTTGGCAAAAGCTAAATCAGCTTTAACAGTTTTCAGCTCCCGAAGAAGTAGTTTTGCTTTGGCAGCCATTGCCATAGCAACCTGCAAAGCACAGGCAAATTGTGCACTTAGAAATCTCAACCATTTAGCCTAGTTGGAGTCTCTTTCTACTTGTAACTTACGTATTTAGTTTTGATAAGAAAGGCACATAAATAATATGAATCGGACTTCGAGCTGAATCAGACTCTATAATATAGTGGGAACCTGAAAAGGATTTAGCCATTCTCAACTTTATAACTTACAAGCATATTGATGTACTCTTAACACTTTCGTGAATGATCTATGCCATGATTGTTTTCTAAGATGAAACCATATATATATAATATATTGATGACAACCACCCACCCATGTAATGAACTTGACTTAATAATAACTAGTGACACAGCTGCCACCTTACGTCGCGAGATGCCTTCAATTGAAGCTCTAGATCAGCTTGCATTTGGGCCTGCACAGGTGACTGCACTGGAGGTTGCTGCCATGCAGTAGTTTGACTGTTTGTTGGGTTCTTTGTGGCAGTACCACCAGGCTTTTTCCCGATATGCTTGCGTGTTTCTTGGATGATGTCAGCTGTTCGGTTCTCCACCTTCATGAGGCCCTCCTAGAAATTTGAATCAACATTGTAAAAAAGAAAATGGATAGGTAACCGTAGAAATAGAGACCGCACAAGAGTTTCCAACATAAAAGAGACACAAGGCAAGACCAGGTGCACTTTTAACTGTACTTGCACTTCAAAGGAGCAATCTAGATTTCAAGACATGAGTTGATGTAATAAGTACATGCATGAAACCTAAGTACTATATCATGCTCCAAGACTAACTAATTGAAATAACAGAACATCCTACTGTGATTGTGGATTCATCCCCCACAGCTACATAGCTAATCCATATTTAAGAGATACTGTCGGGGTGAAAGATTTTCTGGCAAAGATGCTCAATTTAGATGAGAATAAGTACAGGAGAAGCCCCGTTGGTCTTTTCCAGGAACAACACAAGTGATTGTCAGTTGCAGAAAGAAGATGAGTATGACTTTAAGAGTAGTCCATGTAAGCAATCAAACCTCAACGGCATTGCCAATGTAGTTAATTGAAGACGAAATTGCATTGAGCCCTTTGCGTAACACAGGACCTTCTTTCTTTTTATAGCCTCCATTTAGTGGGGGGTGGCGAGTATCACTCTGCAGCATCACAATAGACATCAGAGAAAAAGAAAAGGCATTCCTGCTCCAGTATACTAAAATGTAGAACTTTGCGGACACAAAACAAATATATAACTATAAAGAGCAACCACCAAGAACATAAAATGTAAGAGAATGCAGCAAAAATTCAACCTTCGGCAAGGAGCTAGCCGGTTCAGACATCTGCTGAGGATCTGGGGGAGGAGAGTGAGGTTGCCGGTCCTGTCGGGGCACGAAATCACGGTCTTGTTGGTACTGGGGTCGGGGTTGCTGATTCTGCTGCTTCCCATTTTCATTTTCATTAGCATCGTCGTCGTCGAGAAAGGATTTAGCTTTCCTAGCAAGAGAACCCCAAAAACCACCTGGTTTGGGATTATGATTGGGATCGGGATCGGGATCGGGGTTGGGGTTGGGGTTGGGGTTGGGATTGCGATTAGATTGGTTGAAGCTACTCATGGAAGTATAAGCGTGGGGACTGAGGGCGGGATCCTGTATCAAGCAAGGGAACTAAGAATTGGGACCAGAATCGGGAAATGGGAAACAAATCCCACAACAGGAAATCGAAAACCCAGCAGGGAAAGGGGGTGAAGACAATACCTTAAAATCAGCACCAGCAGCGGTAGCAGGAGCATTGGCGGAGAAAGAAGATGAAGAAGAAGAAGAAGGAGCAGAGGAAGGAGAGGGAGGCAAGGTGTAAGCGGAAGAAAGTGAGGACTCACGGAGGGTTTGGGCGGCGGAGGATGCTCTGATGGCTTTGGCGGCAAGTCCGGTGGCAGTCGAAGTTGAATCTAGCGTTGCTCTTTCCTCGCCTTCTCTCCCCTTTCTCTCATCCCTCTGATTCTCGTATGAATAATAGTAAGACGGCGGCGACGGCTGACCCCTTCTCCGATATGCCATACTGAACCGATCTAACTATCTCCCCTCCCCTCCCCTCAAGTCCAATTCATGGGGGGATTCTAAAAAGGTTTCCGAAATTCCGCAATCCAGTGAAAGAAAATGAGAAAGAAAGAACAAGTAAATGAGTCGCTCGCCCCTTTCAGCAGCCTGCTCACTTCCTTCTTCCTTCAAGTCAGCCTCGAGTCAGAGAGAGAACTCCTCTCCTAGTCTGGCAATGGAGCGGGTTGGGTGGGGCCTAAATTATCTGGAATGCTATTTAACGCCCTAAATATTTGAATTTGATCGCCCTAAACTATCCAAATAGACACTTTTACCCTCAACTAAACCTAAACCCATCCACCCAAGTCCAACCCACCAGCCCATCCCCTTCCCCTCTCCTGTATCGTCTCCCATCTCCAACGCCCTTCTACCCCGCCACCAGCCACCCTTCCCCCGCCATGGCGCCACCAGCAAAGAGGCTTCCCTTCCCGCCAGCCACCTGTTCGCTCTTCCCCTCCCCTCCCATCCCACGACGCCGTCAGCCACGAGACTCTCCCCGTCGGAGGAGGAAGAAGAAGCCCACCGCCAACCACGAGACTCACTGTCGGTAGCATCCCAGAAGAAGCCGCCTGAAGCCGCACCGTCATCGTCATTCCTCCTAGCCAGATCTGTGGTGAAAGTTGCTCCTTCGGATTCTTTTTTTTATTTCTGATGCCGGCAACGAGGCGGGCTGAAAACCCGTCGCCGGCAGGCTGCAGACGTGGTGTCGACCTGTCTCAGCCCGCCGGCGACGGGTTTTCAACCCGCCTCATTGCTGGTCGAGCGGGTAGGGTTTACGCGGAGGTCGGAGGAGAAGCGGGTAGGTTACCCACCTAGAGGCAGGGCGAGGCAAGTAGGGTATCCGCCCCGCCACGGGTCCAGCCGGGTTTTCAACCCGCCCCGACCTGGTCAAGACCTATATCCGATCTGTCCCGCTCTAGTTCGGGTAGAAATATGACCGCCCCGCTCTGGTTCGCTCATTGGTCAGACCAGTCTTTTAAAAAAATTATGTGAATATACATGTAATTTACAAATTAGAATTCGTGATCTATGGTTTAGTGTTTGTGATTCAGATATTCAAAATAAAAAAATTGTGTGATTTATTTGTATGCAAAAGAATTTGTGATTAGAACTACGATTACATGAGTTATTATTGATTAGTATGTGAATTATTAATATGGTTAATTACCATAAATAGTTTGTTGTACTTATTAGTTGTTATATTTAAAAATGTTTTCATTAATTTATGATTGAATCATAAATAAAACTAATGATAATTGTAAATCCACGTAGTCGGTCTCTTATGGGTATGAAAATAACTATTCCAAATTTAAAATGCTTACAAAATAATCGCATTCCAATTCAACAATAATTTATGAATCTTAGTTCTAATCAAAGCTTTGGCATTATTAGTGGGTGTACATGCATGCGAGGTATCATTCATGTAATAACTACTAACCTTTATGTTAATTTGACCAATCTTATTACAACCTCATCTTAGAGGCCAAATCATTCGAACCTCCACTAACAACAATCGTTCACAACATCGAAAGACTCATGTTAGTTTGAAGAAATTCCTGGTTTTAACACCCAAGGCACTCGAAACTTTGATTAAAGCTTTGACACTATTCATGCTTTCTTCGCTCATTGACTTCAAATCGAGAAACGGTTGAATCCAGTGCGTTTAGAGATATTTCAAGGGACCAGTGAAAAACAACAAATAAATCGAGTACTTACCGAATCACCCATAATAATTTCCTTGTTGGTTAATGATGGTGGCACAAGATTTTTATCCTCCTTCCTAATAAACACAATACACAACGAGTGTAACATAATTACTATAATTTATGTGAATTTTCATTAAAAAATGTCCATAACATCACAAAATTTGTTCGAGCATGTTCAAAACAGGACTAGACCAATGGACGGACATGTCGAGAACATGACAGAACCTTAGGCCGAGCATGTTGAAAACGTGTCCGGACCGCAAGGCGAACATGTTGAAAACCCGCTTCGCCACGGTTCCAAACATGCTGCGCGGATGCCTGACGGGTGGGAGGGGTGGGTTGGCAGCACGTCCGCTCCATGGCCGAGACAGATTTTCAACATGTTTGGACAGCGGTCGGGGCAAGTTTTCAACATGCTCGACCCATTTTTCTGGAAAAAAATGAAAACGAAATCAAACCTTCAGTCCAAGCGCCTGCATGCTATGGCGACCGGAAAATAATGATGCCTCTACCTCCGACAAACTCGCCGGAATCCAACAAAAATTTACCAATGTAGAAGATTGTGAATGATTTTTGTGGTGTTAGTGTTTTGTTCTAGTTTTTGGGCTGATATTTGTGTTCTTTTTTTGTTTCAGAAAGAGTTCAAATGGGTTGGGTTCTTAACTCTAGGATGGTTGAACCATAAAATTAAATGAAGGACATTTATGTAATTACCTATGTTTTAGGGCGATAGAATTTAAATATTTAGGGCGACGAATAGGAACACTCTAAATTATCCCCATTCCCATCCCAATCTCCACCTTCAAATATTCAAACTAATACTCGTTCCATACGCATACTCATACCTATGTGGGAAAGGTTTTGCAAACCCTTCCAAATACCTGTGGATTTCGGGTACACATAGGCAATACTCGCCTCGTACATTTAACATCATTATACCTAAGAGTTTACATGTAAATTTTCAATTATAACGTTAAACAAACATACTATATCGTTAAGTCAATGTTTATGCCACGTAACCCGAAGCTCTCTGCTGGACGATACGCCTCTCTCCCTGAATCACGTTCCGATCTTCCGCCTCGTTCCTGCACACGAAGGCGTGCACCGAACCCCTTATTTGGGGCTCGTCAGCACTCCGACGCCCAAGTTAGAACAGTGTTTCTAGAGAGAGAAGTGGAGTATAGTTTTAGAGAGAAGTTCCAACCTGAGTAAATGAGCTCCACCCACTTCACTATTTATACCCCAGGTAGGGTCGACCAGTGCCCCCCGAATCCGCCCTACGTAATCATCTCATTTAATGCACCGTACTTTACCCCTGCCATGCGCGCCGACATTCTGACACCAGGCCTTGCCATCGAGGCGCATGGCCCCACTTCCTGTTCCCTCCGTACGTTCCCGGGCGTTGTCACTTTTGTCGTTATGCGCCTTACGTCATGCTCGGACCCACCGCCTAGGTTACAACCTCAGGCCACTTTTGGGATGGGCTTTTCCCTTGCCAAGCCCACATCCTAGGCCCTTCTCAACTCTCTGGGATCCTCTCTTGGGCCCCCGAATGCCCCCAACAATTGCCCCACAGTTAGGCGCCTACCCTCTGGTGGGGGACTAACTACCCCGGCGTCTCGAGAAGTGCCTTCAGGTCCTACTGCGTGCCCCCCTTTCCACCTATTCCTTCGAAGGCGTGTGCTTTCTTACGCACTACCCCTGTTCGGGCTCTGACTCTCACCTTCTGCTGACTTACGGGTTGCGCCCCGTACGCGCGTTAGTGCTCCCCCCTTTACTTGACTCCTTCCTCTTTCATTTTCTATTTTCCCTGCTATTAATTTTTCTTTTTATTTATCGCGAGTGGACCTTTGGGCTCTTGCCTCGATCCTCGGCCCACTTTCCCCTCCCCTAGGCTGAAACGGATTCAAATTGCGCAATTTGAATTCACCTCAGCCTAGGCGACCGTTCGCCTCCCTTGCTTCGCTCCCTCTCCCCCACTTTCCTCGCCTATAAATTGCCCCCCGCTACCTCCTCCTTCCTCATTCTGCCAAATTCGCTCTCTCTCTCTCTCTCTCTACTTCCTATCTCTACCTTGCTCTTTGCTGCTCTCAAGTGCTTTTCTTAGCTCTTCGGCCATCTCTCTCGGCCAGTCCCTCGCCCACCGCTGCTAGGCGCCTTCCCCTGCTGTGCAATTGCATTCCCCACCACCGATGTGCCTTTCCTCATGGCCTCCACCAGCCAACCCGGATCCCCAAACGCTGCGCCTGCTGGCGCCGCACCTTCTAGTGCCACGCCTTCTGGCGCCGCGCCTTCTGGTGCCCAAGCCGCTGCCCAAGGTACCTACACTCCTTGCAACACTCCTTTTTTTATAATTATTATACACTCTTGTGTTTGTGCGCCGCGCTTCGCGAGGATTGCCGGAAAAATAACCGCTCACCCCCCTCCCCCCAAACTATTCTCGTCTCTTGAGTGATCCCTGCCTTTTCATTTGGGCGTCTCCTTTTTCATATCCTTCCCCCTTGAGCGCCTCTCTTGGCCTCCTCCTCTTCTTCTGACGTAGGCACCGGCGCGCCTTGAGAGTACGGGATAAGCCAATGGGGCAACATGTGGCCTCCCGGGTACATGCCCTCTTGATAATTGGCTTTAATATATTGAATTCTTGGACTTTATGTGATTATCCCATGGTACGTTTTAGCCGATTGGTGTTATTTTAGGGCTCGCTAACCCGAAAATGGTTGAAAAACCATTATTGCCTAGTGCCATGAGTTTGATATGATACAGGTGGAGAAAGCACGAAAAGGAGCGAGTGCACAAGCAATAAATCGGGCTCGAACTACTGGTGGACTACTCAATTGAGCTCAAGGCCCAGAGGAATTGGATCCATATTTCTTCCCCAACAAGTAATTGGGCCAAAGCCCAATTGATGGAGGGCAATTAATTCTCTGGGGACGGAATTAGCTGGGGGGAGACAAGCAGAATTCTCTCTGGAGGAGAAGTTTTAAAAATTGGGGGCGATTCTTTTGGGAGGAGTTTCTCGAGTGGACGGAATCTTCTTTGGGAAAAACAAAAGCAGCTAGGGGAAAGAAGGGATTTTGGTGGAGAATTAATTGGGAAAGAAGGGAACGTTTGGCGGCGGACGAGAGCAGAGTTTGGTCCGCGAGCAATATCGCGTTGCAGCAGGAAGTAGCGCGATCATCGCAGCTTGGTGATCGATATTTTTATTCCGTCTCTTTTCTTAGTGACATGATGATTATAAACATGATTGTGTGTGTTTTTTTCGTCATGAACTAAACCCCAATTTCTGGGGGAAACACCATGGGAGGTAGCTATTTCTTGATTTGATGGATTGATTCGTATTTCTTTTCCTCCAATCTCTATTGCATGAAATTACTTAATGCTTTGTGTTGACTGGCCACCAATACAATGAATCGTAGTTAATTAGGTTATTAGCGACAGTGAAACCCTAATAACTGAACCTATTTCATGTGACATAGTAACTTATCGAAGCGACAGTGGATTAAATAAGGTGCTATGCGGTCTTAAATAGGATATCGGTCTTCAGACTAAATAATTAACTCATTGAGCTACGACAGTAGGATTTGAATTAATTGTTTAGTATGTAGTAATTCCCGACAGGGATAGCTAGCACATTCGTGATATCCTGGCTGTAGAGAGTTGGATTAAATTGATTGGAATATGTGAATTAATCTGGATAGGATAGGTAGTGAATCTCGGTGTTTCTCCCAGAGCTTTCTCCCATTGAATTTCTCCCGACCATTTTACTTTGCTTAATTAGTTTAATTATTTTGCTAGTAGTTAATAATCTCATTAAACTATTTTCACTTATAGTTTGCTCATAGAATTGATATATTATAAGGTTGTACCAGTCCCTGAGAGACGATACCCGGACTTTCCGGTTTACTACGAGATAGGATTAAGGCATACGCTTTTGCCCTACCAAGTTTTTGGCCCCGTTGCCGGGGACTGCCATACCTTATTTTTGTTGATTTTTGTGAGTGAACTATTTTGATCTGGGTGTTAGTGTGCAGGTGAATTTTTCAGGTTAATCCTCCTCGTGCATGCCAAGGAGGACGACTGGCAATTTACTGCCACTAGATCCCGAGATCGAGAGGACCTGTCAACAGAACAGGAAGCAGGTCAAGTTAGGGAAGCAGCCTACCACATCAACAACTCCTAGGCCTTCCCTAACTCAGAATCGTCAACCGAGAAGGCAGGTGACACCACCTGTCATCCCTACACCACCTACACCACCGCCGCGCGTCATCGAGCCTGTCATCATGGCTGAACAGGATCGTTCGATCAGGGCTCGTCTGAATCGGAGGACTGGACCCCGAGCTTCATGTGTTGTCATCTCGGCTGGGGATGCAAACATGGAGATTGCCCCAGCCTTCATCAATATGATCACGAATGGGTACACCTTCTCAGGGGCCAGCACCGAGGATCCTCATGAACATCTCCGCCGGTTTGCAAACATTTGTGACACAATGAAGAGCCCAGCTGTGTCTGATGATGCCATCCGTCTTCGGATGTTCTCATTTTCTCTGCTAGGGAATGCATCCCACTGGTTCCAGAACTTGACACCCCGTTCCATCACAACATGGGGTCAGCTTGAGAAGACCTTTTTGGATAAGTACTTTCCTCCTGCCAAGGCAATGAAGAGGCAAGAGGAAATTGTCACTTTTAAACAAGCTGAGGATGAAAGTCTGACCGAGGCATGGGAGCGCTATAAGGAGCTTCTGATGAGATGCCCAAGCCATGGTCTTGAAGATTGGAACGTGATCATTATTTTCTTCAATGGAATCAGAAGGGAGTTTCGGGATGCCCTGAATAATGCTTCTCGAAATGGTTTCACAAGCATGGAGGCACCAGCAGCATATGATTTGGTAGAGAAGATCTGTTCAGAAGCCACTGAATGGGGTAGTGAGACCAGTATTCGAAGGAGAGGAGGCTTGCATGAGATAGACAGAGTTGCAAGTTTAGAAGCAAAGATTGATGCTAAGCTGGATTCCAAGTCCGATGCACTCGAACAAAGGCTGGCCAAGATTGCTTTGGGTAGACAAGAGGAGGTTTCTTCATGTGAACTTTGCGAGGGTCCTCATCATAGGGATATGTGTCCGCTGGGAGCTGCTCAGTTGGAAGATGTTCAGTATATCAATAATCCGCGAAGTCAAGGTCAGGGTGGTATGTATTCAAATACATATAACCCTCAATGGAGACATCACCCAAATATGTCATGGTCAAACAATAATCCAGCTGGTGTTCGAAACATCCCACCTCCTGGTTTTCAACAGCAGCAGCCTCAACCAGAGAAGAAGCCCCAGCTGGAGGAGTTGATTTTGCCTCATATGCAGAAAACAGACAATAATTTCAAGGGCCTGGATCAATTTGTCACTCAACAACTAGCCATCAACAATAATTTACAATCTTCTATGCTAGCTATGGAGAGGCAGATGGGACAGATGGCTCAAACTTTGGCAGATATGCAAGGCAGGATTCCTGGGACATTACCAGCAAATACTGAGAGGAATCCGAAGGATGCCATGGTTGTAGCAGTGACATTGAGGAATGGAAAGGCCTTGGAAGACCCTAGCAGCTCAAAAAAGGCACCAGAGGCAGAAGAGGAAGCACCGGGAGAAAGATCTTGTGCAGAAAATGAAGAATCAGCCTTGCACAGGCAAAATGAAAGCAGTTTGCCTGTGCAAAAGCATGCTGCCCGTGTACCTCAAAAAGTGGAAAAATTGAAGAACGAAGAGGTAAAGCCTTATGAACCTCCTGCACCATTCCCTCAAAGGTTAATGAAGCCCATGGAAGATCCAAACTTCAAGAAATTTGCGAATCTCTTCAAGCAACTTAATATAAACATACCATTGGCGGAGGCACTTGAACATATGCCTACATATGCTACATTCTTAAAGGAGTTGCTGACAAAAAAGCGTAAATGGGCTGATCTAGAGAAGGTAACCCTTACTTGTGAATGTAGTGCTGTGATTCAGAATAAATTACCAGAAAAGAGGGATGATCCGGGCAGCTTCACCATTCCATGTGTCATTGGAGGTACAGAATTCAATAAATCACTTTGTGATCTTGGAGCCGGAATTAATTTGATGCCATACTCAGTCTACAAGAAATTGGGATTGGGAGATGTTCTTAAGCCTACTCGGATCACTCTCCAATTGGCTGATCGATCAGTAAAAATTCCAAAAGGAGTGGTAGAGAATGTATTGGTGAAGGTGGGGAAGTTTATTCTCCCAACAGATTTTGTAATTCTGGAGATGGAAGATGATCGGGGAGTGCCTCTAATTCTCGGCAGACCTTTTCTAGAAACCGGTGATGCACTCATCGATGTTAGGAGAGGCAAGTTGACATTCCGAGTAGGTAAGGAGGAGAAATTTTTAATGTCTTTCAAGTTGACCATAATCACGATGCATTTGATGACTTTGAAAGTGGAGCTCGAGAAAGGGAAAATTCTTCTTCCTGTGATAGTGGACCATCCGAAACTATCACCTATCCTATCTGCTCAGATTCTGAAGTCAAAGCAAGGGCATAAATCCTTGCCAGGTCACCTCAAGTATAGATATCTGGGTAAGGATTTCAATCTTCCTGTTATTACTCCTTCTTCACTGACATTGAAACAGGAAGAGTACCTGCTTGAGGCGCTGCAGTACCACCTATGCCTCACTAAAGGGTCCAACATGCAAGCTAAGAAGGTCATACCCAATTTTCGCACACCTGGCCCTACTGAGGTGACTCATATGTTGGATGGAGGTTATGCGTTCTATCATTGCTCGGGAGGGTATTCTGGATACCTTTCCATACCCATTGGTTGAAAGCTCCATAAACGTCAGGCTGAGGACGTTAAACAAGCGCTTCTTGGGAGGCAACCCAAGGTAAGTTTTCTTTTCTTTATTTTTCTTTTTAGTTGTGTCAAACCCATGCATGTTTAGATTAGGAGTTGAACATTAGGGACAATGTTCCATCCTGAGTGTGGGGTGGCGAGTCTTAGTGTTTGTTTGTCCCTTTTGTCATGTGGTCGGTAAAAAAAAAAAATTTGCCATTAGGTTGAACACAGCCAAACTGCATGCAGTTTTCCTGTGTAAAAAGCAGTCTGCATGTGCAAAGCTAATGGCTAAAAAACACCTAAAAATCAGAAAAATTAAAAACAAAACCTTGTACTCTTGTGGTAACATGATGTAAATGACCGTGATGCTTTGAAAATGAGTTTGTGCTTGAATGAAATCATCAAAATCACCCCACTAGTGTTGAATTGCATAGTTCTTCACAATGAGCTTGAATGTTTTGACTGGCTTGGTATGCTTTGAATGAGCAAACTTTTTTAGCAACATTCTCTTTTGTGAGGATAGTGTAATGACTTTTGGTGAAGTAGTTAGGTGGAGAACATTGACCATTCGACATGTTTGGATACCGTGCTTACTTGCATCAATTGTGAGCTTTTGATTTGGCAACGAGTATCTCTGTTTTGAATGTTTTATGATGGGGTGAACTGTATCTTTATAAAAGAAAACACTACCTGACAAGTAAAATATAAGAAAGTTGCCATAACAATTAAAGTGTGGGTAAAAATGCCAAAATCGTGTGAGGCAATCACTCATTGCACATGGGGATGAGGAAAGATTCAATTGAGAATCGGTTTGCGACCGTACGATGTTGCTTATCAAGTACGATCCCCAGTTGAGTGAAGTGCCATTTGAGGATGCAATGACCCTCCACACGGACCGAGGAAAAGGAGTTAAAAGAAGCCCTTATGCGAGTGCTAAGAAGCAGAAATTGCTCTTGCTCGGTCACCAGTAGTAAGAAACAAATCCCACTTGTACTAAATACGACCTCTCGGCAAGCAAAAGCAGAAAGAGAGAAAGCCTCACCTTGTCATAAAAGGTAGTGATGTGCTTAAAGTTAAAATCATGTTTGCGAAAGGCTTCCCCCATTAGTTTTTGAGACATGTTTAATTAACTGCTTATGATTGGTGTGAGTAAGCCAGACTGTCCTCATGAGATATGCACCTCATTGATGTGGTTAGATTCTCCTAATAACTGTTGCACCATAAGTTGTTAACCACCCACTACTGTCGATCGAAATTGAGTGTTGCTATTTGAGTTTTTGGATGGATTTGAGTCAGTCGATGGTAATGGTTGCAAAGAACTTGAGTGTGGGGTGAAAGGTATGATAATTAGAGCACAACTTGTCCGTTGAGAAAGAAACTACTGATTACAACAAGAGTAAAAGGAAATTTTGTGTTTTGTTTTGAGTGTTTGAGTATTGAGTCTGTGGTGTGTCATTTTTTTGGATGGTTATGTGTCTATGTCTTTTGAGTCGTTGCTTAGGGGCAATCAACAATTGAGTGTGGGGTTGTGATAATCGGCTTTAATATATTGAATTCTTGGACTTTATGTGATTATCCCACGGTACGTTTTAGCCGATTGGTGTTATTTTAGGGCTCGCTAACACGAAAATTGTTGAAAAACCATTATTGCCTAGTGCCATGAGTTTGATATGATACAGGTGGAGAAAGCACGAAAAAGGAGCGAGTGCACAAGCAATAAATCGGGCTCGAACTACTGGTGGACTACTCAATTGAGCTCAAGGCCCAGAGGAATTGGATCCATATTTCTTCCCCAACAAGTAATTGGGCCAAAGCCCAATTGATGGAGGGCAATTAATTCTCTGGGGACGGAATTAGCTGGGGGGAGACAAGCAGAATTCTCTCTGGAGGAGAAGTTTTAAAAATTGGGGGCGATTCTTTTGGGAGGAGTTTCTCGAGTGGACGGAATCTTCTTTGGGAAAAACAAAAGCAGCTAGGGGAAAGAAGGGATTTTGGTGGAGAATTAATTGGGAAAGAAGGGAACGTTTGGCGGCGGACGAGAGCAGAGTTTGGTCCGCGAGCAATATCGCGTTGCAGCAGGAAGTAGCGTGAGCATCGCAGCTTGGTGATCGATATTTTATTCCGTCTCTTTTCTTAGTGACATGATGATTATAAACATGATTGTGTGTTTTTTTTCGTCATGAACTAAACCCCAATTTCTGGGGGAAACACCATGGGAGGTAGCTATTTCTTGATTTGATGGATTGATTCGTATTTCTTTTCCTCCAATCTCTATTGCATGAAATTATTTAATGCTTTGTGTTGACTGGCCACCAATTCAATGAATCGTAGTTAATTAGGTTATTAGCGACAGTGAAACCCTAATAACTGAACCTATTTCATGTGACATAGTAACTTATCGAAGCGACAATGGATTAAATAAGGTGCTATGCGGTCTTAAATAGGATATCGGTCTTCAGACTAAATAATTAACTCATTGAGCTACGACAGTAGGATTTGAATTAATTGTTTAGTACGTAGTAATTCCCGACAGGGATAGCTAGCACATTCGTGATATCCTGGTTGTAGAGAGTTGGATTAAATTGATTGGAATATGTGAATTAATCTGGATAGGATAGGAAGTGAATCTCTGTGTTTCTCCCAAAGCTGTCTCCCATTGAATTTCTCCCGACCATTTTACTTTGCTTAATTAGTTTAATTATTTTGCTAGTAGTTAATAATCTCATTAAACTATTTTCACGTATAGTTTGCTCATAGAATTGATATATTATAAGGTTGTACCAGTCCCTGAGAGACGATACCCGGACTTTCCGGTTTACTACGAGATAGGATTAAGGCATACGCTTTTGCCCTATCACCTCTGACATTGACCAGATGTCCGAGGAAGACGCCGGGCCCCCTCATGCATCCAAAATTTTGTATTCACGCTTCACGAAATTGATCCGGGCGGCGCAGATGCCCGCCGACTGGCGCTACGCCCACCCGTCTCCTATCACACGTGTGGGAGTCTGTGGAGAGGGATGGATCGGCGTGTACCAAGAGTACGCCCGCTTCGGGCTGCGTTTCCCGATTGACCCCATACTTGAAGGCGTGCTACACGTGTGCCAATGTTCCCTTGGGCGCCTTTTGCCTGTCATCATCCTGTACACAGTACTTTTCCGCCTCAAGTGCCGTTAACATAACATCCTTTCTTCCTTCAAACTCTTTCGCCACTTCTTCACCATGGTCAAAAGCCCCAACTGCTTCAGCCTGCAAAAGCGCGCGAAGTTGGAGTACAACTTCATAAGTCACGGTAAAAAGATGGGGCGCTCGTGGTTTGAGTCCTTCTTCTTCGTCCGCCCTCGTGACACGCCATTCTTCGAGAGTGGCGCCACGCCCCTTACGCAGTGGACTTTCGGAGACGAGGGCGAATTCAACAAACACCCCCCTCTCAACAAAGCGGAGGAGGACATGGCGCGGTGCCTTGCGTCAGTGCCAATAAATCTTAAAATAAATGACGAGTATGCTCGTCACTTAGCGGAGTTCTACAACGATGGTAGTTTCCTCGTGCCTATTGCATGCGCTTTTTCTCTATTCTATGCGCCTGGCTAACACCCGTGCTCAATTTTTTGTGCAGGCACTGCCTTCACCAGTGTTTCAGACCTCATCCGTTCGAAGTTCAACCTGATTCCTCCTGCGCCTCGCGCCCGTGGCAAGAACCGCAAGGCGCCGACTGCTTCAACCCAACCTCCTCCAAAGAAACCGGTGCGCGTGAGGATTATCTCTAATCCCATTGCGCCGGTGAACCGCGCCCCTTCCCCCGTTGTGACCGAAGCGCCTCAGGCGTCCTACAACTCCCCCATCGATCTTGATGACGGTCCGGGCGCCTCCCCATCGCACCATAGTCAAGGCGCCTCTCTTTCGCCGCGCAGCCAGGGCGCCGCGTCCAAGACTCCTACCCGCGCCTCCCAATCCAAGGCCTCGGAAAAAAGGCCTGTCGAACCGCTTCTCTCGGCGGCGAAGAAAGCCAAGCTGGACCGAGTGATAGTCTCGGGCGTGCCAACCAGCTTGGTTATGCAAAGCGTGGGGGAGCATACTGGGAAAACCTTGCCCCCATATCTTCAGCCTCCTTCCCGGCCGTTGGAGAAGGTTGGTGTCGGCGTGCCTATCAAGGCGGCAAAAAACCCGAGCGCCGCAATGCAGATGGTGCTTTCTCATGCCGCTGTAATCGAGCGCCCCGATCACCTCAACTCCAACCGGCCACTCCGTAGCATGGCCAACCTTTCCGTCAAGGTAAGGCGCCCTTCCCTTCAGCTTCGAAAGTTTAACACTAAGTATTTTTGCCAGGTCTAACTTTGTTACATTGCGCATGTGCGAGATGATGATGCTGATCGAATCCACCGCGCGTGAGTTTGATCGGCTGTCCAAGGGGAGCTTGGCTTCCAATGGCGCAACGGAGCGCCTTCGGGATGAGCTGGTGGCTGCCCGGGAGGCGCATGAGAAGCTCACCCAAGCCCGGGACGAGGCGCAGAAAGAGGCCCAGGCTTGGGCGGCCAAACTCTCCACCGGCCTTGAGGGGGAGCGTGAGAAAATTAAGGAGGCCATTGGATAGGCGTGCCACGAGCGCTATGAGGTGCAGGCCGCCGCCAAGCAAGCTGAGATGGCGGAAGTGGAGAGAGAGCTGCGCGAGAGGCAGGCGGTGCTAATAGAGAAGCGTGACAAGTATCACGCGGAAACAGAGCGGTTCCGGGGTGAGGCGCGTCGGTTCTCGAAGGAACTGAAGATGGCCACCAGGGCCAAGGATCAGCACAAGAAGGAGCTGAAGGCGGCTGAGGCGGAGGTTAAGCGCCTCGAGAAGGACCTTGCTGACTACCATAAGTCGGACGTGGGGAAGAACCTCCAGGCGGACACCATGATTGACACTGTGATGATCCTTCGTGAGAAGGTCATCAAGGATCTCCGGAGGTGGAGTGGGACTCCATGGCCTTGATCATGTATGTCCTCAACTTTATGGACAGTGGTCGCAAGGCTAGCGAGCTGGAGCCCATTGCGGGGCTGGAAGTCCCCTCACCGAATGCCGACGGAGAGGAGGCGGATGAGGAGGAAGATGAAAGCGCGGAAGATGATGAAGGCGCAGAGGGCGAGGAAGAAGAAGGCGAAGGACAGGTTGATGGTGAGAGGCGCCTCCCCGACGAAGCGCCATCACTACTCATCCACCAGTCATTTGTTGTTTTCAATTTCCTTATCTTTCGATGTAACCTATGAACCTTCGCTCCAATGAAATTTCAATATTTCCGAACTATGTGGTGTTTCCTTTGTTCGCCTTCAATCAAGTTATCATTAAGGGCGCGTCTCGTAGGGCGCATTGTGCGCCGGTACTTAGGCATGTGTAAAACAATTCCTTATAGGGCGCGACAAGTAGGGCGGTTCAC